ACACAAACTGAGATGCTGGAGAGGAGATTCCCTGCTCATTCCACAGTAAGCAGGGGCTGAAGGGACATTTTCACTTCTTCCTCAGCTGAAGAACAGCCAGCACTTGTAATGAGACATAACAGCAAGAGGCCAACAGAATACTACAGGTGTTTTTTCCAAGGCACCCACAACCCTTCTACTCTTTTATTTCTAGAAATTAAGCTGCTTTGAATGGGCTTGGCTTCTCACAAACGAGCACAGCTGCTTTGCTGCTACTGTCAACAGTATGTTCTGTGTCTGTCTCAGGCTAGTGAATATTACAAAGCAGCTAGGTTTTCCACAGCAGCGTCAGCATGTTCATGACGGATTGAGATGTGCCATCCCCAACCCTTGATCTGGCAGCGCAACGAACAGCCGCAGTTCAGCGCGCAGGGTGATGTGGCTGAGGACAGGCAGGACCGCACACGTGTGACCTCAGACACCGAAAACTCTGCTCGTACAAGCAGCGCTTTGCAGGGCAGCGGACAGAAGGTGAAGCTGAGGACAGACCAGCAGGTCTGCAGTTAAGTGGTGTCTCTTGGGAGAAGGCTAAGGAGCCCTCTCCTTTACCCCACTACTGCAGTTACCGGAGAATTAAATCACAGAGCCCGGCAACTCACCCGAAACACCGCACGCTCCATCCCCAAAGGATGGAAGCTGTCATAAGACATGAACAACACACAACCAAGCTGTCCTTCACCGCAGTGCTTGATGTCATCCAAATTAGAAAAAAATGTATTTTGCCTAATGCGACGCTTGTTCTCCAGGGCGGTTGAAAAAACAAAAACATGTATCAGAAGAGCTGAGATTCTCTCAGCGGCCTGTGCCCATGCAGTATTTCTAGTAAAACCTCACACAGAACTGCTGTTCCTAATATTTCATAAGAATTTTTTCCTGTGTTTAGCATAAAAGCCTCTGATCCGAGTAGGGCATTTCCTGCGATACCTGAATGCTAATCAGAGTGCAAACATGTCTTTAACAGGCTAACTAGATATGTTGCCTGATCCTTTAGTCTCTCTACAGACAAAAAAAAAATCTCACAGAGATCAGGTGTACAACGGTGGGAAGTTTAGGTTTAATCTGTGAAACATCTCTAAGTTACTATGTTCCTATAATAAAATGTACTAAAATAACAAACTATTACCCCTTAGACAGGAACAGTTGTTCTACAATGCCTATCTTTTCAGAAAAAATACAGGGGAAAAGAAAAAGGTACAAAAATAAAAGATTAATACAACACTGATGAAAAGAATTACATCCAAAGCAGGCTTTCATTTCTGTAACAGTGATAGCTATTACTTTGCCGAGGATGAATAATATGGCTAATGCTTACAAAATAATTTGAGGTGTTTTTTATCCCTCAATAAAATGATGTAAGGTTGCAAAGAGCTGAAATGACTGAAAATGCTTTAGGTAGTTGTAGGCACATGCTGTTTATCCTAATATATGAGAAAAGACAAATGTTTGTTTGTTTGTTTTTCCTGGTTTCTTCTTTCAGGTCACATCCAGACTTACTGAATTGAAGTGCATCATGGCTTCCTGCCTTTTCAGGAGGCATAGTACTGCAGATAGAAAGTGTTGCGTGCCTAAAAATAAAGATTCTGTTTGCTGGAAGCCTTAATGATATGGAGCAACGCATAACCCTCTACCGAGAGCGATGGGTATATTCCCATCTGATGGGGTTCATAGATTCCCCCACTAAAAAAAACACATCATTAAATACCAAGCCCTACCGTTTTGGTGAGTCAGCAAGAGAAAAGGAAGAGACCGAGCTAGACAAAACTTATTACTTGCGTTTCTTATTCCTGTTTCTCACACTATTAAACAGGATTTTTTGGGGTTTTATAGGTACCTAGGCAAGCACTGAAATATTAACACGCAAATTACAAAGCTGACTCAAACACGCACGGGTCACCAAGTTCAAGGGCATGCCTCATACTCATCCCTCCTCCAGTAAACTTTAAACATAAAGTGCTCTCCATGCTTGAAAAGCTGTGTAATACTGAGACAATGGAATGGATTAAGGACAGTATGTTTATTAGTTTTGGAACATCTTTGAAAGATTCTGCATCAGATTTTATGCTAGATCATCTGACTCAAACACGCACAGGTCACCAAGTTCAAGGGCATGCCTCATACTCATCCCTCCTCCAGTAAACTTTAAACATAAAGTGCTCTCCATGCTTGAAAAGCTGTGTAATACTGAGACAATGGAATGGATTAAGGACAGTATGTTTATTAGTTTTGGAACATCTTTGAAAGATTCTGCATCAGATTTTATGCTAGATCAGTGCCTTACGCAGATAATCCTACCAACAGCACACACTTCCAAACCAGCTCAGTGTCTACAGCTCTCGTTGGCCTCTAATGGCTGCTCGAGCCCTCTGAGACACTCCAGTGTTCGTACTGAAACAGAGAATATTCTAATTCACCACTAATAATTCCATCAAGTTTGAGTTTAATTTGCATGCAACTCCACTCTGCTTGAGGAGCCAGAGATACCCTGATCTTTACATTAAGAAGCTAACCACTGCTTAAGCTTTTTAAATTCATAGTGAAGTTTATTCAGCTGTTCATTGCCAGCTGCAAGGAGAAACCTTGAACTGCGAGGCAGAATGACAGCCTTGGAATGTATTAACACGTGCAGAAACACAGTCTCTGGACAAGCAGAAACTTACCTCCCTGGTTGTTTAAGGTCCTTCCTTCTGAACAGCAAATTGTTTAAGCCATCAAAAACAAAAATCCATTGAAGTTGAGTTCACAAAAGGCAAACTCTGGTTTAGCAGATTTCAAACAAAAAAATGGTCTCATTGCTACTATTTGTATATTTTCTGCTTTAAAGTGAAATGGAGAGAAAACTGTTCAAGACAAAACTTTGTGAAATCCGGCCTCTTTAAGCAAACAGTAAACCAGTTATGAGCAAATTCTTCTTGCTTGCATGTGTGCAGTTCCCATCAAGTTCAGCGAGGCCCCACATGCGTAAGTGAGGCATAAGTCAACCACATACTCCTTTGATCTTGTGCCCTTAATCATAATAGCGATAGAAATATTTCCTAAAGCCAAACCATGCTCTCATTCCATTTTTAAACATGGTTCTACAATGATATAGTAAAGATCTGTAGCGCAGTATACTAAAAAAAATTAACAAGGCGAGCAGTTGTCCTTTCTTCCAGTTCTTTGCTACCCTGCTCCTTCGAACTACCACCCCACTATTCACTCCTCCAGCTTCGTAGAGCCACTCCTGAGCCTGCCACACACCTGACAAAAGCTGCCCCCGGCGCCCACCTCCCATTACACTGCTGGATGCCAGGAAATTATCCTACAAGAAGTCTGCCCAGATTTCAGAGTATTTTCCACAGCCGCTACCCCAGAGAGAGACTGCAAAAGCGCACAGCTGCGCACGTCGTACACCTTGACTTCCTCCATCCTCAGGTGGAGAGAACTCCCTTTCTCCGAATCCTGACTCTGCAGCGACGTACACAGGGCATCTACACAATTAATCCTTTCAAATTCTGCCTCCATCTCATACGCAACTTGTTCTGTTACGGGAGAGACTTCCGCAAGGTCAGGGGAGTAAGAGGAGATCTGTTCCTGCACACTGGATGAATTCATAGGTTGTAAGTGTTCAACATAAAGCCACAAAGCACGTAAGTGAAAGCTGCACAACTAAAACTGTGTGGTAGAAATGTGGCTGACTACTGACAAGTTCCCTTGGAAGCGTCTCCCCAGTCTGTAGTAAAAGCCCTAGTGAAGTCACTGCCGGTGATGTGCAGTTGCCTTATAAATGTAAACACGTAAACAAAAATGTAAAGAAATATGCCTTGTTTCCTTCTGCCCTTCTACTCAGAAGCATAAAGAGATCCTAGTCTTACGCTATGGATCACACACCTACAAAACTTCTTCTTGAAGCGAAAAAAGGCTAAAGCCAGTACAGTTTTTTGGCACTCCTGTAACATAAACATCGCCTTTCCTTTTGGGAGCTAAGCCTTACATGCCAAATTTTAAATCCAACTGAGATTTTGCAATCACTGTTAACTGTGAAAATGCTGATGCAGCATTCATATCAACAGCGTTTTGGCACTGCTTTGAATTAATGTTTGTTCTCCTCTTGTACTGTATTTTGGCACTAGGGAACTATTCCCCACACAGACACACCTATTGCGTTACAACATATGCAGTGTGAGCCTCAAGAATGCCAGAAGAGAAGCGAAGGAGGCCTGCGTGGACTTTTAAGGACGGGGGGGAACAGATGCTACGCAGGTATTAAAGGACAAACCTTCAGATTACAGCCACCCATCAATACTGGAGACAGTCCTCTCCCTTCCTCCCCATATAGTCTGCACTTCACTTGACCAGATGAAGACCGCTGTGCCCAAAAAACCCCACAGGTTGTATAATTAAGCTTCATCCCGATTCAAACACAAAAAATCCCACCCCACTGGGTTTAGAGACCTCGTCAGCAGAATCCTTTTTACCTCGAGGGCACAACCTACAGAGCAGGGTCTCAAGGTGAGAGAAGACAGCAGAGGGTAGTAACCAAGCCAGGTGATCCTGTTGCCAGACACAAGCGATTTTAGTTACTAACCTTCCAAACCACCAGTCTACTCTCAAAGCTGCAAGGGAATATCACGACAGGACTGCTTTAAAAATGTGCCAAATGCCTAAAATCCCAAGGGCCACACTGAGTGCAGTACTGGTTTGCTATTTCAGTGCCAAACTGTTTAAACTCTCTGTCTGACCGGCCGCACCAGTGACCGAGCAGTCTGATGACACCAAGTTGAAGTCATCAGTGCACGCATGCACACACCCACCCAAGAAAAGGTGCTTCTACTGCACCCGAGATTTCTATCCCAGGGCAGGACTGTCTACGGCTCCTGTAAGACACACAACTCTCGTCACCCGGCGAGAAGTGCCTGTACAAAAAGTGTACCCTGCGAACAGCATCTCATAAAACGTGTAGGAATAGGGGAGGAAGCCCACTGTCACTCAAGGTATTTTACCTCGTGGAGGGTGAGATGCTTGCCATCCTTTCTTTTTGAGTCAAATCTGCCATATATTGCACTGTACTTCCTGATCTCCTCCTCTTTGTGAGGGTCCTCGTCACTCATCTCAAAGATGTGACCAATCATCTTTGCCAGTTTCTTATTTGTTTTCAGTAACTCCTTGACTTCATTGGAGTCACTTTTGGGCAGGGAGGGAACCATACGTTCTACGCATTCAGCAACTGACAGAGCAGCAGCGGCATCCAGGGTCTCACTGTTTTCCTTTGGTGAAGCTGGAGAGCCAAGGTCAGCCGGGGAAAGACTATGCTCGCTCTCTGTGGTGTGGTGTCCTTGCCAGAGTCTCGGTTCACTGCCGCTCTGCAGCGATAAGTTCCCCACCACATCGGATTTGCTTGCGCCCACGCTTTGCACGCACGTCGTGGCAGCACATTTTGGAATCTTCAGGTGAGGCTCTCTGGTGCTGCTATTCCTTTCGTAACTGCTGCAGGATATCCCCAGCCACGCAGGAGACCCTTCCGGCAGCTTATATATTGGAATGCTGCTGACTGGTAAGGAGGTGAGAGGCTGGTTAAAAAGACCAGGGTTTGTGACCCAGTCCCTCAAAGCCTTCTGCAGCCTTCGGACATGAAGCGGCTTGCTAGCCATGCCTACGAGAGCCATTATCTCCAAAAACTCCTCTTCACCTGCTTCACAGAGCTGCTGGACATCATCGCCACCCTGCTGAATGAAGGCATCGAAGTAGAATAAGAGATTTGCTTTTTGTAGTATTCGATACAGCTGCAATTCCCCAAGGGTTCTGGGTAGAGCTGACGCCATCACGGATGACAGAACCTGCAAACAGTGAAAACAGAGAGAAGATGAGCACCAGAACGCCGACGTCCAGATGCATTCCCCCCCACCGCCCATTCTTCCCTAAGGCTGTCAACTCAGAGGACAGGATTTCTTTCTCTCATTATAAGAGCACGTTATGGAAATGAAAAAAGGGGCGATGGCTCTATTTTTTGACAGTTAACTTAATGGAAACATTTGTGAAAAAACAAATCAGCAGATAGTTGCGATGCACCTACAAAAAAGATGATTCAAACATGAAGCCAGCTTGTTTTCAGCATTCCCACTTCATGTTTGTTCCCAAGAATGTCATTCAATATTGCTCACTGCTTCTACTTGACTCTCTTATATCTTCAGACCAAAATGATCACAAAACACTCCGAACAATTACTGAATACTCGATCCCCTGAAGAAAAAAAGCTCATCAGTTTTGATTCTCCTTAATTCTCAAATCATTTCCCCCCATGGCAGTGTGGACGACTGTAAAAGGAAAGCAAAGAAGTAAAGTGCTTCACAGAACCCCAGAGGATTAGTGAAGCTGGATCGGTAAAAGGGTGTTTCAGAACCAAGTACTTCTACAGTTTTCCCCATTTCACATAAAAAGGATCTAATGCCTCTGCTGATCTTAATTATGGCAGCAGACAAAGCAAAAATACTGATGGATTCCAACACATATAGCTTAAAAACGTTATTTTTAATTCACCTGCCCATTCCATTTGCTAACAGGCCTGCATGTCATTGATACTTACGACATGAAATACCATTCAGCAATACAGCAACTGCGCTCTAAGGGCTCCCAACAGACAAATTGGAGCAGTACTCTACCCTTACGGCTGCAGAAAAACCATTTGCACAAGTTTCAACTTCATAAAACCCGTTATCCACAGTTATCCTGCAAATAATAAACTCTTCAGAGAATTCTAAGATCTCACACACACACCTCTTCACTCTACGATGGCTTTCACAACTACAAGCGGATAATTTCCAGTATTACTGTATTAAGCTAAACCACCCATCAATAAGGTCTAAAGCATGTAATTTATAGTTGGTTGGGAAAGTAACAGAACTAAAACATGGAGCTGGTCTGCTAACATTATTCTGGCTCTACTATCACATTGCACTTTAAAAAACACACAGCAGTAACCTAAAAATCAGCACTTACAGAACGATTTGCACACACTGGGAGGAAACTATTCTAATAACGTGCAACCCCCCGTCCCCCAAAAACTCTGATGCAAGAATATATGTATGCTTTGGGGCATTGGGAGACTGGTAATCAAAAGTAAAACCATGGCAGAAATTATTTTTACAACATGCACTTTTGCATATTGTTTTTTTACAATATACCCTTTTTCTTCAGCAACTCAAAGTAAATGTACAAATGTAACAAACGGAACTCAACTTCTATCCAGGAGGCATCTGAAAGATCAGGCTTTTGCTACAAAACTTTGATGAAACTCTACTGGAGAAAAATAACATTAGGAGGCCAACAGAAACTTTACAAAAATGTATGTGGCAGCAACAGAATACCTACAAACAATCTCTTCAGGAAGAAAAGCCCTGGAAAAAAACAAAAAATACAAAAAACCAAAAACACCAGCTGCACATATCGTTCTTTGTACGCCGGTATTTGTAAAACAGAATGGACAGCAATAGCTGTTTAGATCTGAGCAGCCACCTCAAGGAGCTGCTGGTGAGCTCAAGAGCTAATAAACTGCACACTTTGGAACCCAGGGTGAAATTGGTAACATTTAAGAGCGACGTATTTTAGAAATACAGTTTAGCTTTTCAAAAATAATAGTTAACTGCGGACAAACAATTAAGTACTGTCTACACTCAAAGATGTGAGCAGCAACAAGGAAAAGGAGAAAAATCACTTAAGGTAATCCTTTGAACTGTACATAATTCAGTATTTTAAAAATTGTCATTACTTCACAGAAGTTCTTAGAAAAATCCTCCCATTCCATACAAACTTTGACAAGACAAACAAAACCAACAGCTTATGGTTTGGTGGCATTTCAGTAAACTGTTCCTACCCTCCCATTTCAAATGTTGTTGACTTTCTACCATCAATACCACAAATTGAGTTATATAACTGTTATAAGAATACCCGTTTGCTCTGAAAGTCATCCATCTTAGCACAAAATCTACATAAATCTACATAAGTGGACTTTGCGCAGAGAGCTAAATTGAATCCTGGGAGGACGGTGGCAGTGAAATTACATACAGCCCAAGAGCTCCAGGCAAGGCATGGAGCTCATTTTTCCAGCCCACAGGCTGGAAGAGCAGCAACAGTCCACGAGCAGCCTTTACCTAGAGGCTTCTAATCAACACATCTCCTCATGACAGGTAAAGCTTGATTAATATGTACTATGGAGGCGTCAGTAGCAAGTCCACAGTTCAGACTGCGTTGAGATTTGCATTTAAAGCAAGACTGAAATCCCTTTGTTTTGTACTTTAAAGACCAATTCTGTTTTCCAGATATAGTACAGTAACTCCTGAGAGAGCCACGCAAATTTTCCATTTAAGATTACTACCAGTTTCTGCAGAGAAGACATTTTCAAACACTCCTCCTTTTGACCTCTTTTCTCCTCGCATTAAACTGAGTTCCTTCTGCACTCACCTCAGCGACATCCCAAGCATTTCTAAACTTCTACAAGGGGAAGGTTCCCTCCCCTTTCCGAGACAGCCTCACCACACCGCCAGCTACGCTGCTTTTCCAGACATTACCGGTCCGCTCCACAGTTCAGCTCAGCTCAGCCTACAAAGCCAGGAAAGCAGGTAAGCTAGTCGACCTGGAGGAGCAAGAGGAGGCTTAAGAGGAGGACAAGCAACAAGCAAGGTTTGCTGAGAAAGCAGAGCAGCACTGCTGGAATCAGAAGAGACCGTTAACCCAAAGGACACACGGCATTGCCACTGCAGCCTGGCTCTGCTTCCCTATCCGGCTACGGCAAAGCCTTAGCACACCCACTCAGGTCTCAGTGCCACACATCTTTCAGGTGACCTTTAAATTGCATCTAAGAGATGTAAAGTACTGGTTTCCACCACTGTTGTTCTCATTTCTTGGTGCAGCCGGGACTCTGCTTTTGGGGCAAACGGTGAGCACGAGAAGAGGTTACGCAACGAGAAGACACGGGGCGAGCTCACAGCCAGGAGACTTGCGTATGCTCCTCACCAGGGAGAGCACCTTGGGTAAAACCCTGGAGCACGGTGTGCGTTCCCCCTCTTCCACAGCCTGCTTGATAAGTCTTTGGCTTTCTAATCTGTGATCCTAAACAAAGCTGGTTCAGGATAACAGCCTGGAAATGTCCGCTGGCAAACCCTCAGAAGCTAACCAGAACGATCTGCTGCCTTAGGAGCAAGCAAGTAGATCTTCTGAGGTATGGCCAACTGCAAACCCTTTTACGGCAAAAGGCGGGAACGTGAAGCTGGCATGGGAAGGTCTGCAGGAATAAAGGCAGCGATGGCAGTTGAGCTGCGACTTCTCCCCCGTCTTTGCTCATCGTCCATACCAGGAAGAAGTGTGGGAACACACAGGGAAGAGCAGCTGTCTTTTACATTTTTCACATATAGAACAAACACAGAAGCTAGGAAATTCCCCGTAACAGAAAAAGCTGTTTAATAAAACACATGCAAGGTTGCATACTGTTACAGCCACGGAAGAGCCAGGAAATCACAAGTCAGATTTTCACTCAGCCTTTGCAACCCACAACCATGCATTCTCATTTTCCACATTACCTCATTCACATCCACAGCCTATCACCCCATACGCCATGCCCTCCTCTCCAAACGCTGGATGTCACCTTAACTCTGACCACAAACATAACTCCTAGGAAAAAGCAAAACAAAAACCACAGAGACACCACACGGCACTACTAAATATTTGTAAACAATCAGTGCAGGAATCACAACCTATTCCTGCAACCAGCTCCCTCTATCAAGACAACCGGCGGTGGCAGCAGCCCAGCTCAACATCTTTAACCACGGGAAACACCCGCTTCTTCCCATTCTGCCTGGTCCGAGTTCAAAGCTGCGCATTTCCCGGAGGTGGCAGGAAGACAGGCGGCTGCAGTAAGCAGGTGGTGGATGTGGGTGAAGTACTGGGAGAAGGAAAACTCGGGAGTTGTGGGACGTAAGCACAGGGCAAGGACTTCACTAGCAGTTTTCCTGCTTTTTGAGGCTGCACTAGAAGTAAGAGCAACTGAGCAACCCTAACTGATTTTTAGAGACTTTTTTATTTCAGGTGAATTAGATTTGAGCTGTCACCAATTAAATTAGGAATACGCACAAGGAGAAAGTGCGAAACATCACATTCCCGTATTTTAGGCAAAAGTGATTATTTCATAATATATCTTGATCACTTTGGGCGTTTTGAAAAGTCTCTGAAGACAAACCGGATTTGGATTGAGAGCTGGCTGCTTTGCATATTCATTACATTTTTGCAGCGTTTCCAAAGGACTTTTAGCAGAAGAAAATTACATGTAGCTGCAGAAGCAAGACTTAGCAAATTAAATAGTCTTGTCTAGCTCCGAGATGTGCCAAAATACAACCTATTAAGTGAGTTTCACATTCAAATACAGATGCGTATCTCGCCGCAACTAGTAAGAAACTTGAAACGTGCAAAAAACACCGCGTAAGGCTAAAAAACGAAGAGCGCAAATACTTCACGATTCCCACCCGCTCGGTCCCACCCGAGCC